TCAACCAGTTTATTAATCCTCTCGCCAGTCGGAACCCACGACCTAAAATAAAAACATTAATAAGTAATAAAATGAATAAAAAAGAAAAACTACATTACAAGTTTTGAAATAGAGTTATTAAAACTAGCATTCTGATATGAAATAAAAAAAAATTTTTTTTAACATACTGTATAATAAGCTTTTGATCAAGACGTTTAAAATTTGATACTTTTCTGTGATCCAGTATGTAAATTTCGAGTAATAAATTCTCGAGATAGTAAAGAAAATCCGAAATTTTTTTATGATCGCCATTCGAGCAACAATCACATATAAAGTATAATGTAGATCATAAGTGAAATTATATAAAAAAAAGATAATTTTTTTAGCTTTTTTTTTTTCAATACAATAATTCTATATGTTATATAAATGGGTTTCAAATATATTTGGATGTTTTTTTATTAAAATCTAATGTATAATATAATTAAATATAAATATTAAAACATTCTAAAAATCCTATTTTATTTATTTATTTTATTTATTTTTATTTCAATAATAAATATGATAATAACAATTATTATTATTTACTACAAATAAGTATTAAATATATAATTAATAATAATAATATTATTATTAACCTGAATAGATTTTAAATTAAATTAATTTTTATTATATATTGTATATAAAAAATTTTATTTATTTCAGTTTGATTTGAATTTTTAATTATATTAGATTTCTTAAAAGATAATTAATCATAATTATATATTAATTAATTATATTAGTTATAAAAAAAATAAAATATATAATACCATATCAATAATATAATTTTTTTAAAAAATCAAATAATTTTTAGTTAAAAAAGTAATATAAAAGTAGTAAATGAAATTGAAGTTATAAATAATTTAAAAACAAATTTTTTTATTTTTATAAAAAATGAAAAATAATTATAAGGTTCAAATTAGATTTTAATTTGACAATAGTTGAAATAATAATATTTATTTTGAAAATAATTAAACAAATAGAATTTGAAATTATTTATTAATTAAATAAAAAACTAATTTAAAAGATATAATTTAAAAAAAAAATTAACAATAGAAAATCAATATTTTTTTATTATAAATCTTTGAGTATAAAGTTTCAAAAAATATTTTCCAGAAAATTATTCTTAAATATTCTTAAATATTATTTATTAAAAATTAAACAGTTCAATTAATTACTAATAATAAGAAATAAGTGTATTATCAATTATAAGAAATTTTAATTTTGTTTATTGAGATAATTTTTTAATAAAAAATAAATAAATAATTTTTATTTGTATGCATTAGTATTGTTTTTCTCTTTTATTTTTTTTATTACTTTTATTTATATAATTTTTGTAAAAAAGAATAATACAATTTATTTTTAGTTATAACTGTATAAATAATCTATGAGTTTTGATTTTATCTATTAGAAAAACAATATATTATTTTTATAAATCACATCTAGATGCTTTAGCTATTGACAAGTAAGAAGATTTATATTATATATATATATATTGATGTTTTTAATAATTTTTTTAAAATCAAAAAATCAAAAAAATCAAAAAAAAAAAAGAAAAATTATATAATAATTTTTTAAATAACAAATATAATTAATAATATGATTTAAAGTATATTGTATTTCGTAATTAACAAAACTTATATAATCAAATATTATCAGTTCAAGAAGAATAAATTAAAAGGGCATTAAAAATGCATGACAAGAATTATTCACAGGAAAGAAAAAATGACTTTTAATAAATAAACTTAGTAAAATCAAATTACAGTACATACCATACCTAAGAAGAAAAAGCTATATGTTCTTGAGTACTGATTCAGAGAACCAATATGTGCATTAACAATATGTTTTAATTATTACAAATGCTATATAATAATGTGATACTATTTGTTTGACAAATAACAGTTTATAAAATCTTGATTCGGTAAAACATTTATTATTAATAATTACGTGTACAATAGTATTGTAATAATAATTTTAAAATTGATTTAAGTAATTTTATTATATAAAGTTTAAATTATAAGAAAATATGAATAGGTTATTTTAAACATAATTTCAATATAAAAAAGCTTATTCGGAAAATTCCTCAAGCACAATAGAAAAACATTGAGGTCAAAATAATAAAACGAACAATATTGCTTTTAAATGACATATGCTTAAATGTTTAATTGACCACGAAAGTCAGTGGTCTGCATAAAGTAAGTTAAGGAAATAGGATATAAAGGTTAGGTATTTTCCTTCTTTCGTCCATAAACACGATTAATATCGAGATAACTGTCATTGTTATCCAACTCTTTGCCAAGCACATTGATCATTTCGTCAAATTCTTCTGTGGTTACACTTAAAACTGGTAGCAGTACAGGTTTTATGTTACAAAATACATACTTGGCGTTGTCTACGGACTGTAAATTAATTCGCAAATTTAGCAAAATATCGAAATGTCAATACAGTATAAAACTCATTACCGCTTTTCCTAATTTTCCATCTTCAGTTTTATAGCGCATCATATTTTTATCCTCATGAATGTCTTCGAGTTTATCATTTTGTTCCAATAATGAACGTAGCTTGTAGGCTAAATTATTATCAAGATTGCGTGATGTTTGGATTTTACGAACTACATGTAGCACATGATTAATATTTTATATATAATATTTTAATATTATTGGCTTATACATCTTACCAGCATCAAACATTTTGGTCGAAACAAGCCCGAGTCTATAGCCAAACAGACTCATTTCCGATAACTAGAAAAATGACGTTAAAAAATAATATTGTAAATGTACTTCTTAGATTACGATGAAATCAATACCTCCAGGTAACCTCCAGGTTTTAAAACTCTAATTAACTCTACGATAACATCAGGCCAACGATCCGAAGGAATCGCACCGACCAATAAACGTTGAAATACAAAATCGAAAGTGTTATCTTCAAAGGGTAATCCGTTTAAAACATTCGCATAAACAACGGAGACATTTGTAGGTTTTATTTCAGTAGGCTGAATAGGAGAGATATCGACTCCTATTATTTCTGCGTTTGGATAGTCTGTTGCCATATCAAACATCCAAGAACCTGCACCGCAGCTTTTTGAAAATAAAAATGAATTCCAACATTTTTAAAAATAAAGACTCGTCATAAATTTTATTATTTTTATTACCCAACATCAAGAATCTTTGAACCACTCTTATCTATGACATGTTCTACGGGAGCAAAAAAATTACTCTTGAACATGTGTTTAAATACGAAATGCTGTAAATGTAATCGATCCAATTCATCGTAATCGTTTGGAAGATAGTATCTTGCATTCGCGTCATTATGATATCTCCTTCCATATATGTGTCGAAAATTAGATTGTATAGTCGTTGGTTCTGTTGACGTCGACCTTTTCTTGCTTAGTTTTTTGGATGCATTTCCCATATTGCAAATTTTATATCACCATAACTTTTAATGATATTAGGCAATTACAATTTCTTTGAAGACGACAAAATTTTAAATAGGATTTTTCGGCTCTTATTTAATAAATAATGGATCCAAAAAATCCTTCGAAAACATTACTCTTTTATATAAATGATATTATTGATGTTTCACAGATGTTTAATTACAAAATTATTTATGGTGTCACTGTACTTTAAGTGCCATATTTTTAATCTTCTGAAGTTAAAAATCACGCCATTACTCTTCGGTATTACTTTTAGAAAGTTTGTCGTTAACCCAAGAGATGAATTGAACCAATTATTTGATAAATGTATGTAATTAGATTATCCTTTTGTTAAATTTTATCTCAGTGAAAAGACTTCGGCTTATTAAACCCTTCAAATTTACATTTGGCATTAATTCTATTGCAAGTCGCGCGATTCACGACTTAAATAGATAACGGGTCATGTAATAATTCCTAATATAGAGTCATTATATGATTTGTTTTTTGACAAAGATTATGTTGTCACACGGGTGATTCAATGATCTGGTAATGTCAAATAGTGCAACTTTATAATTGCTATTGTACTGTGGTGGTAGGAAAAAGTAAATCTGTCATATCATCGCTGCACGTTACACGACAGCTAGGTAAGGCTCACCTTGCGCCATTTAGTTGTATATTTCGTGGTTGTACTTATTGCCTTTTTTTTTTTTCTTCTAGGCGAAAGAGGCAATTAGATTTGACCGATCTTTGTCCATGTGATAACGATCGTGAAACCAAATTAAACAAAAAATCAAGTTTATCACACAAATAATTGAACACTTATGGTGAGCACATTTGCCGCTATGTTTCATGAAAGAGAATTAAGTATATTTATACACATTTTCATCATCTCCATTATTCACTTTATCCGAATTATTTTCTCTGTTCTAATTATCAAAATATTTAATTACCAATTCAAGATAAATCATTTATAAAATAAAGTGTTGTTTTGAACAATGAAAATAGTATCAAAAGAATAATTATACTGACAAGATAAATATAATTCTATTGACAAGATAATTTTATAATAAATTATATATATATATATATAATTTAAATAATTAATATTTTAAAATTATAAATACTTTTATATTGTTGGCAAAGGAGAAGTTATTTAATTATAATATAAAATAAATCATACATAATTAATAATTTAATATGTATTATACGATTTGTTTTGAATTTATCAAATACTCGATTTTTAATTGGTTGTTTTTTTCCTACACATTATTCGCATGTTTGATATATATCTTTATTTTATTTTTAAAAATATAAAGAAATATTAAATTTAAAAATAAAAATATGTATTATAAATTATTTATATATTTTATATTTTATAAGTCATAATATTTACAAAAATAAAATAAAATAAATAAATAAAAATAAAGTATACAAAGATGAACAAAAAACAAAAAAATTTTAAAGAATATATTGCATTACTATATATTAAAATAATAAATTTATTGGGATAATATAATTTTAACAAAATTATTAAATACAAATTTAAATACTCTATATTATAATAGAATGTTATTTAAATTTTTTAATTATAAATAAATAAATATATATTAAATTATTATTATTTAAATAATAATTAAAATCGTATTGTTTTTATTGATAAAATAATAAATAAAAAAAGTTGTATAAAATTATTAATATATACCTTTATAAAATTATAAAATTGATTGTAATAAAATAATGACATGAAATACTTTTATAAAATTGTTCAAGTATTTATTATCAATTGGTTTGTCAATTTTATCTAACGTGAATCTTAGAACAACATACAGTATAAAAAAGTTATTAAATAAGTGTTGAGCGAAATCAAAACAAAAAAATTCATCCTACTAATTTTTTTATATAATTAAATCATATAGTATGTGTGTTTGTCTTTCTAATAATATTTTTTTAAATAATTTTAATAAGTTTGACAGATAATATATAATAAATATTTTTTTATTATCAAATTAAATTTTTTAATAATAAAATAAAATTTAAATTGATATATAAAAATAGTTTTATTATATACAGCATGTATTTGTTCGAAGCGTAAATAAAGGCAATTTTCGGATGGAACACTAGATGAATTGTTGGCTTGCACGTATATTATGTATAGTAGCATGAGTGAAGACGTCTTCTCCAGTGGGAAGTGACGCGAAAATGTTTAAGAGAATGCAATAGGATGGAGTCACGGGAATAATCTTCTGCTGACAACACATCACAATTCGCCGATTATGTAATGTGAAAAATCGTTATGTAATAGTTTCACCACAATCTTTTTACTTGTTTGTTAATTTTACCTTTGTTAATTTAATTATTATGTAATAATTGAAAAGATCGAAAACACGTCTCGCCTGCCTTAAAGTAAATACCCAATGCGATACCACGCTACTAGTATGAGGCGCGTTTTATTTATTATTTGGCATTTAAGCACTTATCAATGACCATTATCTATTTGTTAAATTTAATTTTTTGCATAACCCATTTTCAAATATAAAAATTACTTATTTAAGATGTGAATTATTCTTTATAAGCGATACACGGCATGAAGGAATTTATTGAATGTGTTTATTTGTTTTTCTAAAAAAACATTCAAGTTCTATCGTACCGTAAAAATATCAATGTCAATGGATTTTTAAATTAATTCAAAAGGTTTCTATCTTTATTCTTAATATAAGGAAATAAATAATAAATAAATAAATATAAATAAATATAAATATATATATAAATATATATATATTATGGTTTGGTTTATGTAACCTCGGGCTTATCGCCTTCATAATCCTTTAGAAAATAGTTTAAGACATATAAAATCATAAAATAAAAAATCTTATAATAATCGCCATGAAATTAGAAGAATAAAAATGACCAATATAACCTCCAAATAGTATAATTTTAATTGACGGCGAAGGAAATCATTCTGCATAAAATAAATTTAAAGAAATTAACATAGAATTAAAAATTCAATTCATATATGATGCGAGGTTAAATATTTCCCTTCTTACGACCATAAACACGACTAATATCGAGATAGCTGTCATTATCTTCCAACTCTTTGCCGAGCACACTGATCATTTCGTCAAATTTTTCCGAGGTTACTGCCAAAATTGGCAGCAACACGGGTTTCATATTGCGCATTACATTCTGACAATTGTCAATGGCCTATAAAATAAATTTTCAAATTAACAAATTTATTAAGATTTTATAATGCAGCATAAAAATAAACACATTACCGCTTTTCCTAGTTTTCCATCTTCGGTTTTAAAGCGCATCCTATTTTTTTCCTCATGAACATCTTCAAGCTCCTCATTTTGTTCTAATAGTAAACGCAGCTTGTGGGTCAAATTATTGTCAAGATTTCGTGATTTTTGCGCTTCACAAACTACATTATATGTATTTATTAATATATTTATTCATGATTTTTGGATATTACTGATTTTGTATATCTTACGGGAATCAAATATCTTGGTCGAAACAGGGCCGAGTCGATGACCACCAAACAGACTCATTTCCGATAACTAGAAAAAACGATGCCAAAGAATTTTAATTAGTAATACGGACGGTAAAATATAATTTTTTTAAATTAGGATGCAATCAATACCTCTAAGTAACATCCAGGTTTTAAAACTCTGGTTAGTTCCACAATAACATCGGACCAACGATTCGAAGGAATCGCAGCAACCATTAGACGCTGAAATACAAAATCAAAGGTGTCACTTTCAAAGGGTAACCCGTTTAGAACATTCGCATAAACGACGGAAACATTTGTAGGTTTTATTTCAGTAGGTTGAATAGGAGAGATATCGACTCCTATAATTTTGGTTTTTGGATATTCTGTCGCCATATCAAACATCCAAGAACCTGCGCCACAACTTTCAATAAATACAGACTGTAATTATTAATTTCGAACATATTTTTTATAAAATTATATATATTTATTATTCTATCTTACCCAACATCAAGAATCTTTGAACCATCTTTACCCAAGACATGTCCTACCGGTGCAAAAAAATTACTCTTGAACATATGTTTGAATACGAAATGTTGTAAATGTAATCGATCTAATTCATCGTGGTCATTTGGAAGATAGTATCTTGAATTCACGTCATTATGATATCGCCTTCCATTAACATGTCGAAAATCAGGTTGGAGATTCATTTGTTCTGTTGAAGTCGATTTTTTCTTGCTTAGTTTTTTAGATGCATTCCCCATATTGATGATTTTTTTATTATGATAACTTTCGACGTGTTATTTTATTCTCGAAATTGAACGCTTATATAGAGTAGTATCGTAAATGTTTCACGGATATTGATTACAAAAATATTTGTCCTGATCGCCGACAATTCGATATTTAGTTGTTACCTGGTTTGATGTGGCTTTTTAATCTTTAGATGTTAAAAGTTTACTCCGAAATCTCGCAGTACATTGCATAATCATCCCAATTACCGAGTTTTCCTTTAATCCAGAGGGGGCAAATTTAAACTGGTTATTGCCTATATTTATTAATTCAATTCATTCAATTAAACCATCTTATTTAGTGAATTTTATTTCTAGCGAAAAGATTTCCAGCCTATTGTTTCCTTCAACTTTCGCATATACAGTACTTTAAAGAACCTTGAAATTTTTATATACTGTATATTGCATTAATGCCATATCCGGTCGCGAGAATCGCGGCCTAACCAAATAAGGAAACTGTGTTTTTTAAAAAGAAAACGCTGCAGTGTAATATATAAAGAAAATGCTGCAGCGTTAAGAATAGCATTTATAAAAAAAAATTAATCAACATAAGAAAAATTTTGATATTTGACTAAAGAGTGAATACTTATTTGGATGTTTGAACCCATGTGAAATAAAGGATTTGTTCCCTGCGTATAATGTGTCAAATGGACATTGCTGTAGTTTCCGCACCGTTTCTGTAAAGTTACACTAGATTTGTATCAGACGGCGTGGACTTGGACCCGAATCACCCGTGTGAAACCATCACAAATCGTGTTGCTTATTGAAATATTTAAATTAGAATGATAATTTGAGTATTCTTTGTCCAGTACGGAACAAGGAGATTCTAAAAAGAAAAAAATAATAATTAATATGATGACAGGTTAAATATTTATTGGACAAAGATAAATTCGTGACCATAAGACCCCCGTTGGTTTGTAAAGGTCAACCATCGATGTTACACATTCCATAAGAATATTCGTTTTTTTAAAAAAATTTTTTAATCGCCACAGTGGTAATCAAAAGTAATTCGTCGCCAATTAAATTTCATATTACAGTAGAACGGTAAATATTTTTATTCTTACTATGTTTTAATATACAGCATTAATTATACAAATAAATAAATTTATTTATTTATTTAATGTTTTATCTATTTTCGCAAGTTAATCCGGCGAGTCTGTCACCAACTAGAATGATTCTCCACATAATATCAGCTAAGGTAAATTTTCGTTTATTAAACTCTTAGATGTGTTTATGACTTGGCTGACCTATACATTAACCTTTATATTGACTATGTTAGAGCCCTCTTTAACGTCATTTCTCTTAGACAAACATGGTCTCTCGGATAGTCTAATAAAGTTTGATTGTTAGAACGCAGGACACTAAATGCTAAAGAGCAAATTGCGCATGTATTTATACATGCGCCCACTATTTACATGATTTACATCATTTTGCCATTTTATAGACTCTAGTCTATTCGGCGAGTCTGTCGCTACGTCGTGATCACCAGTCGAGATGAGTGAGTGTTTGTTAGAATAGTTTATTGTTTTAAATGGAAAATCTCTCTACATGTACATGTATATATATGTTTTACTAATATCTATATATCCATCCCATGAATCCAACAATGTCTCAATTGGACCGCAGCATCACATGTGACAAAAATACATAATAATTAAATTTATAACTAAAAATTACAATAAAAATTTTTTATATGAAATTTTTTTTTTCAAGAAATTATAAAAAACTCGTATATATCAATTAATAATAAATCCAAGTTACGGTATATTTTTAGGATAATGAAAATAAAAAAAAAAATTTTTATTTTTATTTTTAAATTAATTATTGTTACAACGTTGGGATTCATTCTTACATATACAGTAAATCATTATTGGAATATTGAGCTGATTTTATTTTTTATAATAGATAAATAAGGTTACGAATAGTTTTTATTAACATTTATCAATTACTGTATATCGTGAACCTTCCTCATGATATCTCCTGTGTCAAAAATAAAAATATTGTTTGTCGATAATCGACATTACAAATATTGTTATGCTGCATCAATCAATGTTTTATGGATTTTATTGCAAACTTCCGATTATTTAAATACTTGAAAATGAGGAGTATTATATTACTCTCAATAAAAATCTCAGCATTATTTTTTTTATATACTGTATATATTGTAGGGCCAGGGTGACACGGAAATTATGTAAAATTAGGATTACATGAACAATATTGCAAAAATGTCAGTTACGTAAGACTAAAATTCTCAAGTTATGCGAGATCTAAGTTACGTTAAATAAAGTTACGTAAACTCAAATTATGCAGAGTTTTTTATATTTAAATAATTTTACTGTATATTGTTATGGACAAGGCAAGTGATGTGATAAACGAGTTACGTCATTGTTACACGCCTTACAGAATTAGGTGTGAAAAACATACGGTAATTGGGAATAGAAAGATATGTGCGTTTAGGACAAATAATAGAGGAGGGTTTGGAGGGGCTGTGATATAGAAAGATGAAGAATAATTGAACATTAACAAACAGCTGTTACCTTTGCCTTATACACACGCGTGATTTAGGTATTGAGAGTTCTATAAGTTGGTTTACTCAGTTTTGCCAATATTTCGTGAGTTTAAATCCTCATTTTTAAAATAATTTAAATTAGAAAATAAATTGTAAATTTATTTTTTAAATATAAAAAAATACTCCTATTATTAATATTAATTATAAATAAATAAATAAAATGCATTATTTTTAATTTATCAATTAAAAATCTTATTTTGTAACCGTAAATACTGTCAAATTAATTTTGTAAATCAGAAAATTCTGATTTGTGTAATACTGTATGTCATTGATGAATGATTAATCTTTTGTAATAACAAATAAAACCGGTGCTGCAAAAATTTATTAAATTATATCATTATACCAAGATGTTTTTTAAATATAGAAAATACAAAAATATTACAGTATTGTGACTTTCAAAATATTCTTTATAACTTGATGATGTATTGTATATTCCGTGTACAAATATTTTACAAAAAAATCTCATATTAAGCATTCGACTTATACACGATGCCTATTTGTTTTTATTTAAACAATTTTAATTACTTCGTCTTTAATGCATAAAGATTTCATTGTTTGCGTAACCTCGGGTTTATCTCCTTCGGGATTATTTAGACATAATTTAAACATATAAACGGTTTATCGGAGCATAGGTAAAAAATCTTAACGATGACCATAAATTATGAAAATCATTATAACACAATTAAATCTTAACTACTACTGTATATGTGATATAAATCAAATATTTTTCTTACGCCCATAAGCACGACAAACATCGAGATAGCTGGCATTATCTTCTAACTCTCTTCCAAATACATTCATCATTTCGTCGTATTCTTCTGAGGTTATACCTAAAATTGGCTGCAATGCGGGTTTCATGTTGCGAAATACATTCTTGGTATTGTCCACGACCTATAAAATAATTTTCGAATTAGTGAAATTAGTGAAATTAGCGAAATCTATAATACTGGTAAACTCATTACCGCTTTTCCTAGATTTCCTTCCTCGGTTTTATGGAGCATCATATTTTTTTCCTCATGAATATCCTCAAGTTTTCCATTTTGTTCTAATCGTGAACGTAGCCTATCGCTTGGATCAGCATCAAGATTTCGGGATGCCTGCATTTTACAAACTACATTATATGCATATGATCAACATTTTGTGTACTGTATATTGTACTATGGTTTTTTTAATATTACTGATGTATACATCTTACCGGCATCAAACATTTTGGTCGAAACAGGTCCCAATCTGTGACCAAGCATACTTATATCTGACAGCTAAAAAATAAAGTTATAGATAAAAAATTGTAATCCATAATAAATATAGTTTTTAAACCACAGTATAATAAATACCTCTAAGTAACCTCCAGGTTTTAAAACTCTAACTAATTCTATGATAACATCAGACCAACGATCCGAAGGAATCGCACCAATCATTAAACGTTGAAATACGAAATCAAAGGTGTTGTCTTCAAAGGGCAATCCGTTTAAAATATTCGCATGAATCGCGGAAACATTTTTAGGTTTTATCTCAGTAGGTTGAATAGGAGAAATATCGATTCCTATGATTTCGGCGTTTGGGTAGTCTGTTGCCATATCAAACATCCAAGAACCTGCACCGCAGCTTTTTGAAAATAAAAATAAATTCCAACATTTTTTAAAATAAAGACTCGACATAAATTTTATTATTTTTATTACCCAACATCAAGAATTTTTGAACCATCTTTCTCCAAGACATGTTCTATAGGAGAAAAGAAATTACTCTTGAAGATGTGTTTAAATACGAAGTGTTGTAAATGCAACCGATCTAATTCTTCATAGTCATTTGGAAGATAGTATGTTGCAACCGCCTCATTATGATATCTTCTACCTCCAGCATGTCTAAATTCATATTGCGAAGTTGTTTGTTCTGTTGATGTTGATTTTTTCTTGTTTAGTTTTTTAGATGCATTACCCATATTGCTAATATCGCTCACGAAAACTTACAATGTTGTTTAATCGAGTATTTATACAGTATAACATTGGTTTCACATACTGTATGTTCAACAGCTGTAAATTGTTCGAATACAGATGATACGGTATTTCAACTGGTTCACATTTATGATCTTTACATAATGCTTTTACTGTCAACAGATCTCCGATTACGTGATATTATAGAGCGAAGTTTAGTCGTTAACTGAATTATTAAATTTATGTTAGAGCATGTAAAGATTGACTTGGTTATTTGTTAATCCAATTAAACAACTTGTTTTTCTCCTTTGAAAAAAAGACTTTCACATATTTTAAGCATTTTTATACCGTAGGTGATATTAAAAAGCATTCAGAATTTATTACGCCCTCTTTTACTCGCTGCGCAATTTTTTTTTTTTTTTAACAAATTAAATCATTACGGCTAGGCAATTTTTTTGCTACATGTAATATGTCATACTGACAAGATCATGGTGCTTTGTATAGCTACCATATCATCAGATGGCGTGAGCCGAGGTGATACCATTAATAACCCTGTTTTGTAGAACATTCTTCCGAAATGCGCAATCAGAATGTCTGATTGAATATTTTTTGTATACGGGAGGTTCTAAAAAGAAATGGAATGCTGTACTTGACTATCGTATCAATATTATGCATTATCCTATAAAAAATTTTTTTAATTGGGCAAAAAAATTAAAAAAATTAATGTTATGGTTACCCCGATAAAAAAACATTAGATTACAGTATAGGGTCAAGGTTATACAAAAATTGGGTACGGTAATTCGCGGACAAAAGTTATAAAAATGCGAGATAGGAGAAACGCAAAACAAACAATATCAATTACGTAAAACTCAACTCAGATTATGCTGAGTCGGCTAGCTATACTTTATATAGTGACCTAGGCACATTATATTTTTTATTTTTTTACATGCAAGTTTAAATCCATAATTTTATACATTTCTTACGAAATATAAATTTTTATATAATTAATTGTTTTTATTTCATTAATTTACACATACTGTATATTGTATATATTTTAAGAAGCACCATCCCATATTTTTTATGCGAAAAAGTTTTTATAAATCATCTACTGTGTTTTAAAAATTGGATCTTTTTAAACCAAAAAATGTCAATAACGCAATTTTTCCATCATCGTTATTATTTATAATATTTATGCACTTGCATTTTTTCAAATGTTATACGTTTTACCAATTTTTTTTTTTAAAAAAAACAATAATAAACAACACGTTGATATGAATTATTCAATAACCATCTTATTACGTGTCCATTACATATTAAAAAAATTAAAACAACAATCATACTATATCAACTATTAAAATAATAACAAAACAATATTTATATTACTATTACCAAACAGCAAAAAATATGTTCAAACAGTAATCAAAAAAGCACATTATGAATATTATTACATTATATACTTTGGATTGTAGCCTGACTATTTTGAAAAGTATTATCATATTTCAAAAAATAAATCATCAAAACAATATATATATTAGATATTCCTTGTACAATAATCAATTTTTATTACTTTTTTTTTTTAATTACAATAAAACTTTTAAACAACAATTACATCATTATCACCATTACTATCACTATTAATCAACAACCACTATATTGTTATACTTCAATTTTTACTAGCATTTACTCTTGAGATATTACCTATTCTAGAATAATCGTTGTATTCCTGTTTTAATTATTGTTTGATACTATGCTTTTTATACTATTATTGCTCTAGAATATTTCCTGTTTTTTATTTATATCAATTAAGTAGTGTTTTTTCTTAATTACAGATTAAATTCTTTTACTGATTCTAATTACTTAACTTTTTTTTGTTTTTTTATTAATATTATATGATTTAAGTATTTTTTTTATTTTATATACAAGGTTTTCTTCTTTATTAAACATTTTTTCTACAATAATATAGTTTATATATTTGTCTTTCTTGATATACTGTTGTAATTGATATTGTAATTGAGTTAACAAAGATCTTTCTAAAAGACAGAATTGGACAATATATTTAATTTGATCATATTTATAACATATTATAGTATTTTTTTCAGATGTATATTGTTATCATTATTTCTAGTAAGTCTGTTACTATTTTGAAATAAATACTCACATAACAATAAATATTGAAATAAGTCTCTTTTCTCTTTGAAACATATAATAATTTGGCTAATAGTCTTTAATACTTTTCTTGATTCATATTGTAATTTTCTCTTCTAATCTCTCTGAATTTTCTGCAATACACTAATTTATTTTTATAGTAATATATTAAAGACACAAATAACAATTTATTATTATAATCAAGTCAATATTATAAATATAATTATTTATTTATTATTCTTTTTATTAAACTGTCCTACTTCTATTTATACTATTGGAAATATATATAATTATCTATTGTCATATCTGCAATAACTCTAAGTTTAGTAAACTTTGATACTTATTATTAATATATAATAAATATATTATATTACTACTGTTATGGTAAAATATAGTGAATCTGTTGCTTCTGTTTTTTCTATACCATGCAACAATGGAAAATGATTTCTTTTCAAAAGAAATATGTATATTTGGCTCAAATTTGACAATAATGCAGGTCAATCTATCGATTTTGTATCACGAATAGTAATCTTTTGCATAATCACTTTTTGGTTAGTAACCTTCTTCACATGAATAGCTTTTTTAATATATAGTGTATTTTTTTTTCAATATCATTCTTTTACTTTTTATACTTTTTATATCTTATGATTTATATAACTTTATACTTGTTATCTATACTTGTTATTTATTTTATATTTGATAATTACTTGCTATATTAAATAGATAATTCTAAATACTAGAATATACTAAAAATATTAGATACCTTAACATGTTTATTATATTTTTTTATATTTTTTTCTTGTTTTGTATTCATTATTTATATAGTTTGTTTTTTATCTTAATATTATATTATATAAAATTTGGTTATTTCCTTATAACAATATACAAATGAAATAAAAATAGAATTGAACTTAAAGTATAACTTGTTTTTTTTTTTGAGATTTTTGTAATTAAACTTTTAAACAAGATCATTTACAAGCTTTTTTATTTTTGAATCCAAATGTTTTTTCTGGTTTAACTCTAATAGATTATTTATAGTTAATAAAATCTTAATTATTTTAGTATTGTTAAACAAGTTGTAATATTGTATTAACATTTGTAAATGCATTTATGACTACAAGAAAAACAATATTAGGTCTTAATCTTTTAAGAAAATAATAAAGTTTTTAAAGATCTAATATATTTTCTTCAAGATTTACAGTTTAATAAGTTTCTTAAAATCAATATAATAGAAATTTATAGATTTAAAGAAATCTTTTCTTCTTTCTTTTATGTTTTTGAGTCTTTTGTTCTATTATTATTAAGTAAACTTATTTTTAAATATATTTTCAATATCTTCTAATCTGTAGATATTGACAGTATAATTATTTCTATTAGTTTAAACATATTTAATTTACTAATTTTCAGTTTATATTGAAGACAGATAGTCATTATTTGTATTTTTTTTCATTGTTTTTATCTATTTATTAGACTTGCTTTAATAAATATAAAAAATTAAATTAAAAAATTTTAAGTTTCAATTTCAAAGAAAGATTCTATTTGCAAAACATAAGTATTGTTATTGGCCTTTAAATAATCAAATATATTTTGTACAATTGTATTTAAAGTAATAAATGTTTAAAATAAAAAATTTAAATTTAAATTTTTTTAGTAGGTAAACATCATTTCTTTATTTGATTTGTATATAATAGGATATACATTATAAAAGAAACAACATCTCTTATATGTAAATATAATAAATTAAATGTTAACTTGCTTACAATAACCACATGACTAATATTAAAAAAAAATTTTAAAACAATATATCTTGTCAGATGGCATCAAGCAGCTATAAATACCTACTCAGTATTAAAAGAATTAGAGTTATAATTAAGAGATAAAAATGTTAGACTATAAATACATTTAAAATAATTATATTTAGATTGAATAAATGTATTGATAATGATAGAAGATAGATTAACAATAATGTCTTCTGGTGGATTGGTGTTAGATACATTTTTAATTTGTGAGATATTCTTGTTATTTGGTTTAAGAAAACTAGATGAATTAGAAAGTTTGATATGATTCTACTTGATTCTGATAAGCAGTGAAGTTTTAGCTGTAGAGCAGTGTGATTTTCAGATCATGTTATAGAGTTAAGGATTTTGTTGCTGCTTTAATCCAGTTAG